ACCGTAGCAGGAACATATGTTCCCGCATAATTCGAAGTACTTATTTCCATGCCTAGCTAATCTTGCATATCTAACACCCCTTTTCTTATGGTCCGTCACCGTCGAAACAGCACGTTTCCTGGGCCTACCGTTGGATGACCTCGAAAACAACTTATCAGAACCATTTTGCTGTTATCCGATAGCTATCATATTTCCGGCCGAAGACAATCCTGGCTTTCATCGGAGCACGTTTGCCGAAGGAAGTCCACTTTTTCAATTAACCTCACTGGATGCTGGCTCCATTGACGACCATGAACACTGCTGTGAAATGGTCTAACGGTTGCGCTTCCTGACCGTTCGATGAAACCGTGACACCAACATTTTGTGCAGCGTATGATCCATGCGGTATTTTAACATCTTGCACATTCAATCGACAATGTGCCAATAAAAGATAGTGGATTTTTGTTACGGTTAACTCCGTACTTGGAGTTTTCGAGGCACCTAGACGTAACTCATCAAACTTCAAAGTGCGACCATGTTGAAACCAAATCAACATCGATCTTTTGCAATAATTGCATCATCGGACGGTGAGGCTAAGTATTTATCGTACCACCCTAGTAGGTATGTAATAGATTGGTATATAACTTCATTAATTCATTAAAAGTATTCAATTCATAAATAAATTTAAACAAATTTTATATGAAATGGAGAACTCCTTTAAATTATGGTTTTTATTGTGGAGCGTATAAGTTATCGATACAAAAAATATATACAATTGACATGAGCTATTATTCTGCCATTACGTCTGAACATTCAGTTTTTGTTGCATTACTCATCCATACATATAAGTACAAATAATATAAGTACTTGCTAATATTTACTACCCTTCGAAAATTTATAAAGTCAAGAGAGATCTTTAGAGAAATGGAGCTTTCATGGATTTTGATAATTTTTAAAATGTGAACAAATTATTTATTTAAGCATTTGTAAAATCATTAGGTGGAGAGGTGAAAAATTTATTGGGCAATGAGAAATAGATTTTCGACCTTCTGTCCGGTAAAGCATACTTCAGTGTTCGTTCCTCATTGTAGCACATTTCGCGTAGATCGATCTTTATCAATTCATCACAAAAACTCGATAGACTACTGGACTTCGATGTCGGAAAGTCTGTGGGTGCACTTTCATCGCAATCCGACGTTTTCTCGGCACGAATTTTATGTTCGTACCTTGAATCACAAGCACAACTATGTAGTATATGCAGTTCTTTGATATTGGCATTGATTATTTGTTTGCCAATTCCTGGTATGGGTTCTACCGGTGGATAATTAACATCTCTGTCCCAGGGGCCTTTGCGACAATTCCTTTGTATCCATTCTCTTTCTTTATTACATGATAAAAATTTCACCGAGAAGAATGGTGGCGGAATTCGTACTACCCAACCGGTGTTCTCTTTGTATATACCACCACCGACATCATATGTGCCCGGTTCGAGATTAGTCATAATCGTATGTTGTCCGCTTGGTCCCAAACCGTTGATAATTTCCCAAGAGGTGCGTCGATCTTCCTCTGTGCAGTATTTCCATTCGTCGAAATTTAATTTTTTCCCATTAAATTTGGCATTTAAGTGCAGTCCATCGTGATATGTCATTTCGTGCAACTCTATCAATTTACCAGCCTCAAATTCGCCAACAAATTTAAAATTGAATGGCTTCGTCAAAGTAATCTCGCCGATGCCATGAAATTTCCCTTTTTTAAAGTTTCCTCTATATTGGCTGCCATCTGGATACATATACTTTCCATATCCCTCCATACAATGTATCGCATTGTTGTAACTACCAAGAAATTGACTGCCCGTAATGAATGTAAGACCCTTTTGCATTTCCGAAGCAAAATATAGAAAACCCAAAAATATAAAAAAGTATAAGTCAGAATTGTTTTCTTCTTAATTTATAAGATTTTGATTCTTTTGACAATTCTACAAAAATGTTGATTGAATAAATTATAGCTTTATTATGCTTTCATGTGGAGAGATTCATGTGACATGTTAGAAATAAAAGTTTTAATTTAGTTGTTATCCCATCGCTCTTGAAGATTACTCTTTGTTAGTATTCATATGGACTCAATTACGAAATTACGACCTCCGTCTTTCGTGACCTCATAATTTATTTGACATCTCGAAAAAATTTAAACTCTTTAAATTCTCGAAATGTGCGAACTTGCTTAATGTTCGACCCACATAAACCTTTCAATGCCTTCCCAAAAAATCTGTTATGTAGTATTTACGATGAATGATTTAATTTTAATATATATTTCGAGATTAAAAATAGAGAATCCTACTCATAGGGCGCCTCCTGAATTTTTTAAAAAAGATCCAGTAGTCATTTAAACGGTTAAGTATATAAGTAGCTATTAAAAGACCTCTTCCTGTAAGTAAGGTAAAACAATTTTGGTAATTCTCGATCCTTGTGTGATATATGTCGGGACCTCTTCTCCAAAGTCCAGACACTGAATTGCTATTTCGCCACGATTTGGAAAAAGTTTGCTGTGTGATGATTTTGGCTTAATAGACTGAAAACATCATGGGCGGTCTCACTAGATAAAGATTGCTGCAAACTTAAGGAACCTTCTCGCATAATCCGGTGATAAAGAATAGATTATGGCAACTATATAGACAAAAATCATAGGTGAGGATAAGATAAGATAAATAGACGCGAATTGCAACGCGACTTGGGTATATTGTGTCCTTAAATCCCAAAGACTCACCTAGCCCCAAAATATTTTGAGAAAGTCCAATGTACTGCTGTATGCTAGTGAGACGATGTGAGCCCTATTAGGAAGCATAGATCCCAGGGTCTTTATCCTGCGTCTGCAGACTGCTATTCAGTCAATTCGCAGATGTTATGGAGTTTCAGACTACCTGTCGTAGATTATTTTAAGTGCCGCTTGAATGTCGCTATGTATGGATTAGCGATAGTTGCGTTTCTATCTACAAAAATGCTTGGAAAACTTTGTATGTGGTCCTGCAACTACTGCTTCAATTCCATCCAACGTTTTCGAGCCGGCGGTGTACCACTTAATTTTAATATCCCTAAGCATTAGCTCGATAGTGGAGTGATTCCATTCAGTCTTGTTTCTAAGGATAACCTTGAACTTCTTTACCCTTTTAATACTGCTGTCCCTTTGGAGAAGAATTACACCACTTAATTCTTTCATCAATTGTTACTTCTGCCACACCCTTCTGCTATCATTTGAAGCTGTATGTTTTTGGATACCTGACCGATCACTATGTGAAGTGATGGGAGTTCACGTGCTGCCGTCGTATTTAGTGGGACCGGCGCGCTGTATTATAAGCTTCTAAAACTGGACAAAACCATTACTGAGGAAGATTACAGACAACAACTCATCAAAGCCCGAAATTTGCGATCAGACACGAGGCACTAATTTTCCACCATAACTTTGCTCGACTACAAACTACTACAATTAAACTTTATATTAGAATATGATATCAACGGCTTGATTCATTTTGGCCGCCAAGCCGACGCAGTTTCCTGGAATGAAATCCACAGATTGTCTAAAATATGTTATAGCTTCTGTTGAGCAATATTTTGAATAATACCATTGTCAATGTTTCTCTTAAAAAATCATTAGTTGCCTAGAAAGGAATAGAGATCTGAGAGGGCAAAGAAAGAAATCAAATAGAAAAATAATCATAAGATCAATTCTGTGCAATTATATTACATATGACTGGAATAATATGCTTCAATCGTCAAAATAATATAAAGAAAACTGGTGAGGTGACAAGCATTTAAGTATACTTCTTCTTTTGGCTGATGGCATTATAAATAAACACCAAATCGAACAACTTGACCGCTTTTCGCTAACAAATAATACAAAACTTCGCACTTAAGTTCTTAATCATATTTTTACCTTTAATGTATGTCACAAAGGCCACTTGAGCTATAGCTATGACGAATTCAACCACGTTCATAAATTGTGACAAAAAAGCACCCGGAAATTGTAATTAAGTATTTCAAAAAATGCAACTAAAATTTTATGTTGGAAGGACTGTTCTTAATTACTACGCCAAAATTGTCTCAAATTTTATCTTTGTAACGAAATTTCGTATGCAAAATCGTTACAAATTTTGGAAAAGGCTTACGCTGCTTCAGTATTATTAAAACACAAGTGGTACAAAAGCATTCAAAGACAACCAAGAGATTGTTGAAGACATGCCTCGTTCTGTACGACCTTCAATCTCTTCCACTAATGAAAATATTTAAAAAGGATATGGTGCTCGAAAATTGTCAGAAAAGTGTTAGAGAGATGACAAGAGAGTTCGACATCTCTCGCGAGTCCTTTCAAATGATTTTGGTGGATGTTTTGTGTATGAAACGCGTTCTTGGGCATACTTGATTGTGCGAATTCCGATCCCACATCATGGATAGCATTATAACTGCCAATAAGACAAAGGTTTATGAGTTTGACAGTCAAACAAGTCAACAATCATCGGAATGGAACTCGTTTTCATCAATCGAAGAGATTGATTGAAGAAGATTCGCTGAAGAAGCTGAAGGGAATCTCAAAAGTAGCTTATGAAAAGAGTTTCGGAGACTGGAAAAATCGTTGGCATAAGTGTATTACATCTGGTGGGGATTACTTTAAAGCTGAGGAAATAAATATTTATGAATAATTTAATATTTTGTGTTTTATTTACAATTTCCGGGTAATTTTTTCTCACAACGTATTCATACAAATCATGCGCCTGAGTCCAACATATACACCCAATATAAAAGAAATTCTGAATTAGAAATTGTGAAAAGTGAAAAAAACCACAGCGAAACCTCTTCGTGCTGCTGAACAATTCAATGTGTAGTAAAAACATTGTTATAACAAAAGCATTTATGCGCTCAAGAATTCAATAACGCGACTTAGAAGCACAATAAAGAGACGAGCAGAGCACCGCCGGCATCGATGCTGGGCCAAATTATGGACGCGCCTCAGTTGTTCGGCATAAGCGAAACGGTACGGTCCACACAACATACGCGGAGAACTCCAAAGAATCGGGCGGAGAATATACAACATTAAAACTCACACCTGTATACATGTAATATTTACACATACACATCGGTTTTGTTGTTGCAGGTAGATTGTGCGAAACATAGCGATTTGTTATTTATGATCACTGATGGTCAATTATGACGCTTCTACGTTCAAAGTGTTACAACCAAGCATGAAGCACGCATGCCCGTACGTTGACAGCCGTTAGAAGAGAACAACAACACCAAACAAGATAAAAAAAGTGTACACAAAGGCGGCGCGCCAAACAAAAGCATTGCGCGATCTAATAGAAAAGCTAACGTTCAGAAGGTTATTTGAATAGAAAAAGTGGCACAGTGAACAATAAACAGAAAACAGAAGCAGACCCAAATACATGTTTGCTTTTGTAGAATACACGTCCTAAACTGATATCATTTAACATTTAGTATATCCTCTTCACATACGCTTACAAAATAAATAATATGTGTGAAGTTTTAAAAAACAAAAATTGCTATATATTGCACATCCTCTTGTTCGTCACATACTGTGGCGAAGCACACGCAGCGAACACAGCGGATTACGCACCTAGGAGCGCGCACAGCAGTTCCACGGACGTCGACGCGGAGCACATGGCTATAGCTTTGCCGAAAGGCTTCCGGCCACAGGCGCCGCCCTTCAAACCAATGCTACTACCCTTTGCGACGCCGGCGCCTAGTAGTCCCTTCGGCGGCTGGAGACCAATAGTTGGTGCTGCCAACGCGCCAACTTATCGCAATACAATGCCACCGCCAAAACCGCTGGCGCCACCGCCACTTGCCGTGTTGCAAGATCGCATGGATACGGCGACACAAGAACAAAACCTCGCGGAACCACTGCTGGAATCGATTGTTTATGGTACTTGGAAGCCAGAACGGCCATTGGGACCTAACGAAACACCAGCGCCCACCAGACGCGTCACTACTCCTGCGACACCAGTTCACAATCATAAAGGACAACGTAAGTGGCACACAACACCAATTGCATCCAAACTATTATTATATCATTTTACAGCACCCAACGCATTCGAGGAACTCTTTGTTCAACATCCGATCGTGAACGTGCAACCTGGCGCTAATGATGTGATATTGTTTATGAAAAATGGAAGTAGACGGATTGGGGGAACCCGCGCACCTCACACCGCCACAGTGCCCACTGAATTCATCAGCGTCAATATGTCCGATCAGCGTCTACTGGAAATGGCGAAACAGATAAATGATTCGTTTGGTGAAATTGCAGCATACACACACAAACCCAAAAAAACCACATTACACGAAGAAAGCGAAGATACCACGCAGGATGTCGGCATTGAAAATGAGAGTGCCGCGGATGTAGAAACGAAAGCGGAAACGGAAAATTTGGCATTAGATGTTAGTAAGGTGTGGCCAACAGATTTCATTGTTTCCGTGGAAAAGAACAGCAAGCAGAACTCTACACCTACTATAAGTAATAGGCTTTCAGCTGCCAAATCAGATGAAATGACAGAATCGTTGAATGGTTTAAGCCTACCGAATGCGCTGTTACCGCAGATTTCGCTCAACATAACGAAAGTGGGTGTACCGTATGAGAAACAAAGCTCTGCCGAGAACCCCACCATTTGTGTACCGCTTACCGTGCTTGAGCAGTTAAACCAAGTAGAGGTATTGGAAGTGGAACGGGTATATTGCTTCCCGCTGCCACCTACACACAAACGACATACGGGGACCCCTAAGCCGAAAGTCGCAATAGCAAAAGTAGAGAATTTTACAGAATACGAAGCCATAAATGCGTCAAATATGTTGAATTGGAGTTCTGTAATGATAACGAGTTTGTTAATATTTAATTTTATAAAACTGAAGTATTCTTGAAAAAGAAATAACTATATCTGCATTTTTTTTTATAAATGGACTAAGTTATCCTATTATCTGTTAGGTTCCTACTTCAAGGATAGGGTTTAAGCCATTCTGTACATGTATTTGGATTTAAAGAAAGGTTTCTGTGTCCCTGTTAATCTCATGTTATAATTAGTTAACCCCTGTTGGGTCTGTCCTAGTCGGATGAAAGCCATTAAAAAAGAAAGATAAACAAACAATGATAGGATGTGTCGGGAACTGATAGGAAGTGTCGGGAAGGAGCTTAAAAACTAAAACTGTCGATTTCCCGCCAAACTACGAGTCCCTTAAAATAAATAACATATAAAAGTTATATTGCAAAGTTATAATTAATAAAAAGATCTACAACTTTTTATCAACACTTTTTTTACGTAACCTGAAAATTTGTAAGAAAATTCAAATATACAAGTTTTTAGTTTCTTATTTTTATCTTTAGCAAAAATTTTTGTCTTCCAGATTTTTTTTTATTAAAAATATATATTTATCCACCTTATTAATATCGGCAAAACTCTTTATTTTTAATTAAAAGAAAGATATTTTAAAAAAGTCCGTGCACAAAATCGAGTTAGTCAGCAAAACCACACATCATATAGAAAATAAGAAAATTTTATGGAGTTATGTATATTTTTATTTCTATACTTCTATACTATATTTCTATACTTGTCACTTCAAATCAGGAATCCTATAATATAACAATTTTAAAATGTTCAAATAAATTGTATTTAATTTTTAAATGTTTTAGTACCAAGTACTTTTCAAATAATTTTACTTTTTATTTCCCCAACACTAAATGCTGCACAGCAACCCTACCCGACGTAGGTGCAAAACAGCTGATTAACAGCTGAACTGGCACAACTTTTGGCACAAATTTGGCTATGGATTGGAATTTTTTTTGGCCTCGCACTTGAACTTGTCACACGCACGCAAACGTTGGCTAAACTTTTACATAACAATGAAAAGATGACAAAGTAGTTTCGTTTAAAATCTTAAGCAAATTAACTTTCGGTGCTAACTAAATTTACTGTACTTTAACCATTGCGTGCGGCGCGTAACTATTACTAAATTTGGGTGTAACATGTTGAAAACGGTATGCGTGAATACGCGTTTAAAGCTTTGGACTGAGTGTGAACAATTGTTGCTAGCACAGCAGCCACAATGCCACTCACAAGTACGATATATAAGTCCCCTGTCTATTTATGATAGACGCGTTGCCAACAATGAATTGTTACCGGATAAGGAGCAAAAGACAACAACGGAGCGTTTGGAAGCACTTTACAACAGTGTCCAGAATTATAAACCAATTAGTAAAAGTGGTGGTGACGGGGGAGGTTTCTTTAGTTCTCTATTTAAAGGTGGCAAAAATAAAAATGGCGTTGAGCTAAATGTCGGTTCCGAAGTTCCACAAGGACTATATATTTTCGGAAGTGTTGGCGGCGGAAAAACTACACTCATGGATATGTTTTTTGATGCTTGTACAGATGTATGTTCGAATCTTCCTAATTTCATTTGTATGTTGCAGCGCGCTAATATACCATTCGTTATTTTCGACAATAGATTCAACAAAAGCAGAGAGTCCATTTCAATTCATTCATGACGGACGTACACAAACGCATACACGCAACTAAACAGCAACGAGGTCCAAGTGATAGGGCATTTAACACTGAAAATCCAACACCATATGACCCAACACGGCCAGTAGCAGACCAAATATTATCTGAATCATGGCTTATTTGTTTCGATGAATTCCAAGTAACTGATATAGCAGACGCTATGATACTAAAACGCTTATTCACGCACCTTTTCAACGACGGTCTTGTTATGGTGGCGACAAGTAATCGTCATCCCCAAGAATTGTACAAAAATGGATTACAACGCAGTAATTTTCTCCCCTTCATCGATATATTACAACTTCGTTGTAAAGTTAGCGAACTTAATAGTGGCATTGACTACCGCCGCATTGCGCAATCGGGTGATACAAATTATTTCGTGTATGTACATATGTATAAAGCGTTTGGAAATTATTATTCAAAAGATTCAGTTTCGTTGAAGCCATTTACTTATTTTTTTTTTTTTATATAATTTTGTATTGCAGCAAGTCAAAGACAGATGCTAACTCCGAAATGGAACGTATGTTTAAAATTCTATGTACTCAGGAAAACGATATTGTGCGTCCGCGTACCATAACACATTTTGGACGAGATCTGACTTTCCAGAAAACTTGCGGCCGTGTTTTGGACAGCACTTTTGAAGAGCTTTGTGATCGTGTAAGTAAAGCTTAAAATATTTGAACTCTTATTTCATTTATATACTTTAGCCACTGGCGGGTAGTGATTATCTACAAATTGCACAACTTTTCCATACAGTGCTGATACGAGATGTGCCTAAAATGAATTTATTCATAAAATCTCAAATGCGACGATTTATTACACTCATCGATACGCTTTACGATAATCGCGTAAGGGTGGTTATCTCTGCCGAAACGCCACTTGATAGACTTTTTGACATCACAGACAAGCCCACCGGACTGGCGGACTCTGAGCGAACGTTGATGGATGATTTAAACATTAAACATGGTTCTGTGCGTAATTATTATTATTACTATTTGTCAACTAAATGTTTTCAATTAAATGTTTATCTTTCGCACACATTTTAGAATGAAGCAGCGGCTAACTATTTCACTGGGGACGAAGAAGCATTCGCTTTCGACCGAACAATTTCCCGTTTATTTGAAATGCAAAAGAAGGAATATTGGGAACAATGGGCTAAGCACCGTTAAAAGTTTTGTTTATAGCTCGCGGAACATGCTTTTTGAAAAATGTTTTACAAATATACAAATATACATAAAATACTTTGAGTATTATCAAAGATATCTTAGGGCTTAAATTATTATTATGTTAAGCAAATTTTATTATTAGTATTATGCAGTAAAATGTTTAATAACTAGTTATAAACTAGACAGTGTATACTAATCATGGAAATCATACCAATGTTGAAGGTAATAAAAGCAATACGATAAGTGTTTTACAAACATCGAGCATAAAATATATTTTTTTATTTAAAAATGCCACCTTGTAATGCAGTTAATTTGTTAGGCTAATTTTAATTTTTTTTAATTGTTTATTCGGTTAAAAATATGTGGATTGAAAGTTAAAAAATCCTCGATTATATCACCTTTGCACGATTCATCAATAAATTTATTAATAAAAATATTTTAATTTAAATGGGTGTAAGATATATTTATTCACAAAGTTGTGTTTATATATGAAATTTGATGGGAGCAGTAAAATAGTAGTAAAGTAATAAATTTCTTTTTTTTTTAAACTGAAGGATTTTTGGAAGTTCTACTTGGTACTTGGTAGCATGGCCATGATTTTTAATAACAGCAATACAACACCTCTTCGTAGAATCTACGAGACTCTGTCATCTTTTTAATGGTATGTTCTGCCATGTTTGCTGCAATACGGTCCACAACTCATTGTTGTTTATGGGTTTTTTTTTTTGGGGGTTTGGGTTATGGGTTTGTCATTTCATACGGCTTTCTTACCGTCTGCCCAAAGGTTTTCAATGGGATTGAGATCAGGGGATTGAGCTGTCCAATCCATGACTTCAATTCCACTGACCCGAAACCACTCCTTTGCCACGCTTTACCGCCGTATAAAACCACTTTCGACACAAGTTACTTTACGTTCTCTGCCCGAGCATGCCTTTGCCTACAAGCGTCTTTTCGCGACGATGGCAAAAACTAAAAATCATAAATTGAACAATTTCAGATATTTATATGAGAAGGAAAAAGTGACAACCCCGCAAATATAAGTATTCAAATATATTAGAATAAAATTGACAWCATAGTTTATTTGTCGATTTTCAAGTCAAGAAATGTTATAAAGAAAATACTTAGTATTCCTCTGATTTGTGTGTACAGTGAATCCCGGTTAAATAGTACTCCACTTAACTGAAAATCTTAACTGCCCATATCCTGCTGCATCTCACAGTTTGTTTTTTGAAATACATATAAATTATTGTTTTAAGTACCACTCGCTTAAGTATCCGCACTTGCCTATATGCCATATTATTTTTAACAAACCACAAAAATCTGTATCTTAGATTGTTGCACATAACCGGGATTGACTGTATTTGTCAAGAAATGTAAAAAATATTTTTACGCGGCTTGCAAAAATCTGCGTCGATACGTCTACAAGTTCACTCACAAACATACATATATACGCTGGTTTGTAGGCGAAGCTGTATCAGAGAACTTTTAAGTTCTCTGCTCTGGTTGCGCATAGAAAATAAACGAATCGCTAGGCGTAAATTTGTTTACATTGGAATTAGCATTATTTTTCTCATTTAACACTGAAAATGCTCAATTCTGCTATTTTCGTGGTGAAACACGTTTATAATTTGTCTGTGGTGAGACTGGATCATCTCTGCCGAGTACCCCTTCGAAAAGTTACGATATTTGAAACGTGGACCTTCTCTATGATAAACGTTCTTTGCGTAAATTTTACGTTCTCTGTTTATACATTCTCTGCCTCTGCTCTCTCTATATTATGTTCTCGGCTATAAATGGTTAATTGGAATTGAAAACTTTGTAAAATTGTTTATGTTTTAGCAAAACCTAATCAATTGCTTTTTATTTTAATATTAAAACTTATTAAGATACTTATTAAGTATCAATTTAGTTATCAATTACATTAAATTAGAATTATTTTATTGTAACCTACAAAGATTTTTAATATTGACATACAATATTTTGTATTGTTTATACCATTACAAATTCTATGCTCTGAGGCTCTTTATTACCCAATGTAGCATGCACAAATGACAGCTGACTTTTCACATATTCCAATAGGAATTGTTTATCACTTGTCTTACACGAGCTACTGTTATCAATTCGTGTTTATATCAGATCAGAAAAAATTAAATATGAAAGTTAATAAAATTTTACCCTTCGGTATGTACAAAGTCTAGGTGAAAATTATTTCTAAAAATAAATAAATAAATAAAAATAATAAATAACAACTTTAGATGACTCTCTTCTGGATTGTACAATTTCTAATCGCCAGTTGGAGCAAATCGCTGTAGAAATTTCCAAACGTGGCAGTGTAACTGGTCTTAATCAGGTAGTTTGGGCATTAAAAGCATTAACTTTAACGGACTCGACAACATTGGGAGGCGATGATACGGCAGCGAATGTGCGAAGTCTTTGCCAGCGTGCAGCATTTCCCATACCAGAGCATGTTTTGTTAGAACTTGGTGTTGAACCGGCACTTCTGCCGCATATACACACTGCCGCAGTATGTGTATATCCAGCTCGTGTCGCGGATGCAGCAGCCAAATTGAAGCAATTAAATAAATACAATGAAATACCAATAGCTTCCGTGGCAACAGGTTTCCCAGCTGGGCAGTATGGCTTGGACTCTCGCTTAAACGAAATTCAATTTGCTATTGAGTCAGGAGCCACCGAAATTGACATCGTAATCAATCGTCAATTAGCACTTGTGGGTGATTGGAGAAGTGTTTACAGTGAAGTGTGCGAAATGCGAAAGGTTTGCGGCGAAAAAGCACATCTGAAAACCATACTAGCTATTGGTGAACTTGGCAACATGGAGAATGTAAACACTACTGCTATCATATTACTCCACGTAATTAATAATTTACATTTATTTACACAGGTTTATAAGGCGTCCATGGTTTGTATGCTAGCTGGTGCTGATTTTATAAAAACATCTACCGGTAAGGAAACTGTTAATGCCACTCTACCAGCGGGTTTGGCTATGATATATGCTATACAGGAATTCGAACGGCGAAAAGGCATTCTAGTTGGTCTAAAACCAGCCGGTGGTGTACGCACTGTACCTGATGCAATTGCATGGCTAACTCTCGTAAAAGAAACTTTGGGTTCACGTTGGTTGCAACCCAATCTTTTCCGCTTTGGTGCATCCGGTTTATTAGATAAAATAGTAGAAACTATTAATGGGCATATCAACAATCCGCAAATTGGAAGTACTAGAAACGCCAACGCTGCCTCTTATTGAAAATAATGCACAATATGTATCTGGGTGATTCCAACATTCCTATTAATAAACATTTTGATATTGAGCAATTTTGTATTGAAATAAAATTATTAAAAATATGCGCGACTAATTTGTATATAAATCTATAAAAAGTAATGCCACTTTCCGCTGCAATTTTATAACTTAAGAAAGGTCTCATCTATCCAAACCAAATCTCTGTTTGGACTATTTAATAGATGGTTTATGTGAAGTTTGGACAAAATCGATAGAGCGGTTCTTCATTTTTCACATTACACAAATGATATATAAAAAATAATAAAAAGTAATTTGTGTTTATATTGTTGCTATTTAGTGAGTCGTCAGTTTTTCACATCGTTTACAAGCTTTATTTCAATTTAATTGTCAATCAATGGTAAGTTTTGATAACAGTTGAAGTGAAATACATGTATGCATGTGTGTTTCTTCTTTGAAAAAACATGTTGTGAGCACAGTTTTATTATTTTGTAACAGATGAAATTTATTTTAATTTTATTTGTTCTTTTTTCAATGAAGGAAAGATAACCAGAGCTAGACGAGCAAATATGTATAGGCCGGCGTACGCGTAATGCAAATGCAGTGGCATTACTAAGACGATCAAAGACTGCAGATAAACGCGCACAACCTCATGCAACGCAGCGTTAGCATAATGGTCTGTTGACCCTGAGTCTGTTGCTGTTGGCAGTGAAAATGTTGTTGCCACAATTGATTGAAGCTGTGATTTAAACTCCTAATTCAAAGGGAGAAGTTTTTGATACCGCGTGTCCCAATGATTCCAACTAATAGCAGTTAATAAAATATTTTTTTGTTTGAATAAATTAATTTGATGTTAAAATAATTTTTTATTATTTCACTTTATATGTACGTAGCGAATCACGTACCGGGCCGATAGTATGCACATACATGTGTGTATAACGAGGTATGAAATATCTTCTAGCGTAGAAAATCGAGTGCCTCCTTCAAAGGTATAACTCACATGTTTACCTATTTTACAGACTTTATTTGCTTTAAGATTTCACAAACACTATAAGATAATATTATATTTACAGCATATATATGTATGTGTGGATGCATATGTACATACAAAGAAAAGAATGTAAACAATAAATTATGACTCAATATTTACACTAGACATGTGTAACGGTATGTTCTAGCTGCCCCGCTGCGGCTGCTATCAAATCATCCTCACCTCCATTTTCGTCTTGGTTAAGAAATTCTTCTTGTGGTCTTGCACCCGCACTGTGGATGTGGTCTTCCTTGTGAGGCTGGTTATTCGGAATTTTAACTTGCATGTCAACACCAAAGAAAGAGTCATCAAAATTAATACGGTTACGTTCATCATTGACCAAGTACACAGCTTTTGGCAACTGACCGTTAGCATCGGTTAGAGCTTCTTTTTCGAAGGTGTTTAACCATTTTAGGTTCACTTGTTTAGTGCCCGCGTTAAATTTTTTTGGTAACTTTTTCGGTTTTGTGGCGTAGTAATTAATCGGATCGGCCCCCTTACTGGGTGCAGGTGGTGGAACAATATACTCCATTTGTTTACTTTTCATATCCAATTTGCCATGTTCATACCCGAAGAGTGGCATGTAGAAGTTAAACGGCTGCACTGCAGGCGATTGGATTTGTTGATAGGGTGCCGACATGCTCGCAGGCGTAACGTCAGGCTTTGTTTCATGCTGGTGATGTGACGACTTTGTTGTGGTATCATCTACGAGATACGCATTCGGTCGAAAGAGTTCACCGGCACGACTTAGCAATGACTCGAAATCTTCAAGTGTGATATAATGTGGTTGCATTAATAGCAAATCCTCCGCTGGATGTTTGGGTGTAATTGTAGGCATACTTTTCCCTGCTTGTGATTGCCTTGCTCGGCCAATATTTTTCGAAGGCGCTGCTGCGGCAATACTAACCACCGCTAACCATGAGAACTAAATAGAAATTCAAAAATACACTTGGTGCACATATAATTCTAAGAAGGTTACACTC